GTATTTATCGTCAAATAACATAGAGATGCATGTTATTATGCGTAAAAATGTATTGCACATTCCACAAATTCTTTCACAACAACACACTGATGTACTAGTTTGGATGACTCAAAAATTCATTATCATAAATACATTATCGAGCACATGATACCCTTTATTCTATTGATTGTTGGCGTAGCATGCCGTTAGAATTATTTATCAATATATACGCGTATATTTTCTACTAAAAATTCTACTATCCTTCACGGTCAAGGATACCCATACCTAGTTTCTTGTTTCTGTGTGAAATTGGATATTGTGCTTTTTGTTTAAATTCAGATTTAAATCAAATCGGTCATAATATGCATTTCTCATACGAGGAGTCCTGGATAAATCAATTGAGGTATTCTAGAATTGACACAAATTTAAGTAGCAATTTACCCAATCATCTTGATGTTTTGTAGATTCGTGTAACCGTGTTACATTCTAAATCTTACTCTATTTACTCATTGTGTATTCAAATACTAATTTTAAGTTGAAAACGCGCATTTTCGAGTATAATACATTTCAGTTTCAGTTTTGAGTGGCGTTTATGGCAAGGGATTCCAGGTCTCTTACATAAAATGATCGCAACAATTCCTATATATAAATGTAAATTCTCTATTAGAATTAGAATTATGAAAATTCTATTTGCATACAATTCTTATAAATCTATTGACTCTTTTATATTCTATGACAGATCAACAACACCTACGATTGCTTCTACAATTCAAAATCTGTTACGTCTGTTGTATGGGAACAAGACAGTTTGGTATTTGGCTTGGTTTTTCTCGTCATTGGTTCTACTGGAATGGGAATAACTCTGATAACAACTGCAATAGTAATGATGATTATATTGCTGTGGTACTAAAACAAAAGAGTGTACGTGCTTGTTCCTCACGATTTACCTCCGTAGTTCGCCATCCATACGGACAGTAGACCTTTTGTGTTCTTTTCGAAACTGCGAAAGTTTGTCTTATATATTCTTTTGATCTTCTGCTAATGTATTTGGGTTGTGAGTGTGAGCGTGCGTACAGAATTACACATCATCCGCACCTACATCCTGATCTAAACCATATTTCAACAATGAATCCAGAGGCTTATTCATCAAATAGAAATTTAGATATACCATACTCGACGACTTCAGCTTTTTCATCTACCATTTCAAACAGAACATTCGATTCCGTTGCAGATCAAGAACACATTTCTGTCCACGAGCGAGCATCCATAAACGTAATCATAAATATAAGACTTTAGGTAGTATCGAATGATACTCTTCAACGATTCACCTGAAAGTAATTATCGACGAGCGATCTCTATCTGCACTTACTACATTTGATATATTAAACTCACTTGCTATATCTACTTTAGTTCATATAATAAAGTTAAACTTTTGTGGGTGTGGGTGTGGGTGCGTGTGGGGTGTGGGTGTGGGTTTGGATAGGGTGTGGGGTTGGAATGTCATTTCATTAACACTCACATCCGCACATCCGCACACCCTCACCCACACTCACACCCACACCCACACCCACACCCTTCCATCCAGTGTAAATCAGCACATGATCCTCTATTACCTTCTATAAAAATATCCTTTGAAAATGAAAAAAAATTGCTTCGAAAAACCCTCGTATCCTCCTCCAGGCTTTTCGCTGGAAATTCTTTTACAAAATATACCCGCATCCCCCTACGAGGACTTTTTGAAGAAAATTTTTTTTTCATTTTGAAAAGAAAACTTTTAGGAAAGGTAGTAGATGTTCATATGCTGGTTTACACTAAGTTGAATTGATGTCATGTGATGAAATTCTACGAGTAATTTCCAAACCAATATCGGTACATTTTCTATAGAAAAGGGCTCATTTTTTGGGATTTTTCAATTAGTCTCCCAGAACCGTTCTATGCGATTTCACGCCAGTTTTTTTCATAACTTGGTATTACTCAGTGGATACCTTGTACCCATATCAGTCCGACTTCTCTACATTTCATATCTTGGGAGACTGGACCTTCCCAAAGTTGTGATTTTGGTCAAAAATCATGATTTTGCGGAAGGTCTCCTGAACGATAGGAACTATGTAGAGAGCTGAGTTGTTTTACTGGACTAAGTACTCAATGAGATCTCTCCATTCTCAGAATATCAACTCTCTAACATTACTCCTTCATGAGATACATATATGCACAAAATACCGAAAAATGATCATTTTGTGTGTACCTGGTAGTATTGGTCAACTTATTAATAGTTCATCCGTTTGAGCTCATTTTTTTTCTGTAATGTTTATGCATTGCATCTACTCACAGTAAAAATTTCAAGTCAAATGTATGTCTGCTTGATGAAATATATGTGTCACAAAAAAATCACAAAAAATGCGTTTTATTGACAATAGTGCCCTCAGAAAAATTTAAATATCTCGATAGCGGAACAGTATTTTTTCAAACGACTTGTGTCAAAGTTCTTAAAATTGTTCCCTCTACAACATATCCTAAATTGAACAAAAACTGTTGACCTCGATTGAACGGCTTCCATGGCGGTCGGTTATGGCTTATACGGACTGGCTGGTGCAATAGAAAAAAAAAGTTGATGCTTATATTCCGGTGATTTCGAGTTTGGCTGAAATTCCGAATATAGGATTTGATAGAGCAAAGTCTGCTCTACAAAACCCATTATGCCGAGCAATATAACCATTTTTAGTTTCTAAGGACTAAGTACGAACACTATCATTTGTGTCACGGATTACAGTATCACTCAGGGAAAAATTTTATTAGAGGAAGGAAAACTAACAAATGATATATGGAGAAATGCGCGAGATCGTGGGGAACAAGAATATATAGCCAGAATTAATTTCCTTCCAAATAATGATAAAAAAGTCAAAACCACAATTTTTGGTAATTTTTCCGAGTTTTACGCTGTTTTCAATTTTTTTTCATTTTCCTGCTCTACTTGTGACTTCTATATTCTTATGAAGGAACGTCTGTTTAAGCTAATTTTTTTACCATAACAACAAGTCATTATGTTCTACAAGATAAGGGCATATTCACTCAATTTTAAGAATCCTTATGTGTTTGTGGGAGAAACCCAGGGTGGACAGATCAAAAAGTTAAAAATCGGAAAAATTTCGGAATTCTTTTTTCCAAAATCGGAAAAAAATCGGAAAGTGGATTTTTAATGCTTAATTGCCTAAAATGTGTTTTCATTAACATAATATACTTCATCCTCTTCCTATTTATTTTTTCAAACATCATCTTAGAAGATATTTCGTAATAAAAAAAACCATAAAAACAAGACAATGTACATCTATCATTCAATGATTACAAGGAATAGTACATAAATCATTTACTCTCGAACTCATTCTGTTTTTCAACAAACTTAGAGATAAATTCACGGTAAAATAGAAGAAAAAGTATAAATACATAAACACATACATTTCATTAAAAAATGTATAAAAACTAAAGTTCATTCAATACCACGACGTTTTTTTTGTTCATATTTTTCATCGGTTCGAATTTTCTTCAATAAATCAGGTTGAGATAACAGATATTTATGAACATATGCACAAGGATAGTCAGAATTCATTCTGATTTTTAATTCAGCATCGACTAATTCAATATCCATCCGACTACGATAATGAGACCACAAATGTTTCATATGACTGAATATTGTTTCTACATAAGCATTTGCACATGGAATTGAAAATATGTAAGAAATAATTTTTTTCATATTCGGTGTCGAATTGGGACTCATACTTAATAAATAAGACCAAAATTGATCAGATCGTATATGCTCATCTTTATTCTGGTTTTTATGTGTTAAATCACCTTCTTCGTCCTCACCATTATCAAACAAATTATGTGGATTATCATTTATTGTTGATGTTGGAAGATAATCTTTCTTACTTGAAATATATAATTTAATTTGATCACTCAATTTAACACCTGTCTTGATCAAATTATCATATAAGAATTTAATTTCACAATATTCATTATATAATTCATCTTTGTCCAAATCATTTATTTTAATTAAATCATTCATATTCGAATTCACTTCAATTAGCACAAGGTAAAAAAAAAGGTATTTTTTTTATCTATTACATATATTTATGGCATGGATTTAAGTGATCAGTAAAATAGATGATATGATCAGTAGGAAAAAATATTATAAAATCAGTTGATTGAATGAATGATCAGTTATATATTGAAGTACCAGTAAACTATATATATGATCAGTTGTTAAATGAAAATGTGACGTAATAAAATTTGAATATCAGTAAATAAAATATTATAGCAGTCAATTAAATCAAAGAATCAGTAGAGAAGTAAAAAGTAGGACAAGATGAATCGCTTTGTGCTTTGTTGTCTTTCTTTCTTTTTCTTCATTGACCTATATCTACTAGGGAACTGCAAAGTGGTCCCGGTCCCGGGACCAAAATTTGACTTTTTTACGGGACCGGGACTAAAACTTTTTCACATTGGTCCCGGTCAGTTTTTATGCAATATATTTTCACGTTTATTATTTTGACATGATTTAAGATCTGTAAATCAAATATTTTTATTTGCTATTTCTATAAAAGTCTTTACTGATTACGAGTCTGTTTGCAAGAATCTGAGTTTGCCAATTGCACAGGTTTTTGAATACATATAAAACAACCAGCACAACACTATATACGTAAGTTTAATTTGTTCATTCTTCGATGATTCCTTTATTGAAGTCTTATCAGATAATAGTAAATAGATATGTATCGCCGTTTATTTTTTTTTTGACAATCGTAATGGCTACTCAGTATAAATAATCAATTCGATAATAGATCCGTTAGGTAGAGCAGTAGATATAAAAGAAGAGAGAAATAAGTAAATGACTGCTACGAAGTATATGAGAATTTTTAAGAGAGAGTCCACCACAGGATCGAGAAACCCCATACTCCCAAAAAAAAATTTTTTTTTACGGATTAAAAACTTTTTGTTTTAGGCTGGTTTTGTAGCTTTTTTATTTGCCCATCCGATGTACGATCCAAATTTCTGGGATCAACTAATCTTGAGAGATAATTTCTCAACAATACTGATTTTTGCTTGATAACTACGTCGTATCAATTTTGACTTAATCAGTGTGTAGTCATCAGTGTGGTCTGCATAACTTTTTTGTTATATAATCAATCGAGCAAATATTTTGGGTAGAGTAGTTTCACCTCATGGGCTATCGATTCCACAAATAAAATGAGGTGGCCAAAATTTTCGGGAGTATGGACCCTTTAAAAATTCCTCGATGATCTCATGGACGCCCTCTTAACAAAATTCAATGGTTATTTTTATTCATTCGAGCTTTCAGTGAAATTCTTTCACTTTAACACTGGATATAAAAGAATTTTCGCACTGTTAACGAATCAAAATTATTCATGTCAATTTTATGTATTCATAAAAGTACATAGTTCGTAAAAAAAGTTGCTCGATATTAGAAATGAAACCATTGTCAAAGACCGGGACCGGGACTGAAAAAAAATTTGACCGGGACCGGGGCCGGGACTAAAAAAAGTGATTTTGCAGTTCCCTAATATCTACACAATGTAACATATATATGCTTTTCTTTTTCTTGTTCCTTCACGTTTATCCTATTGTTAGCACATAAAAAATATGGAAGGAATCCAGGTTGCTCAATATGTAAGTGATTTATCAGATGAAGAAGTTTATAAAGAAAGTAATGAAAAACCTCAAAAGAAGAAAAAAAGAACAAAATATGGGTCAAAGAAGCTGTGTTTGATAATGCTGGTGAAGCCGAAGCATCACTTGGTAACGCATGGTCGGGTGTGGGTATCATAATGTTTAAATATCCACACCCACAACCTCTTCATTCTATATTACACATTGCCAATAATTTTCATCTTTTTTACTGGTAAAATCTGTCTTATTTACTTATTTACTTATCAAATTTTCATTTTTTACTTATCAAATTTCTTTTTTTTACTGGTACAATTGATATTTTTTTACTGCTATTCTGTATAATAAACTGATCATTTTCATATTATTTACTGGTAATCTAAGTATTGATCATTCAATATCTTAACTGATCATTCAACCTTTAAACTGATCATTTATATACTTTTTTACTGGTACTTTCATCCATTTTACAGATCAAATAATTTGTTGCCTATATTTATTCGATTTTTATGAAATAGCGTAAAAAAATAATTTTAAAAGTATTTTTATACTTGTCGGCAAGCGTACAGTATGAAAATTTCTCATCATTTTCAAGAATCAACTGTCTCTTTTCAGAGAAGGTCAATGCGTGTCGTGTCGTCATTTTACAATTGTGTGTAAATAGAATAGTGCGATATTCTTTTATATGCGACTAATCAACTTGTCGTGAACTATTCATTTTCATTGTTTCCTTTGTTCCATACACGCGACGAATTTTCTTGTGATGAATAGACCGTCAATGAGGTAGCCTATCATCGCATTAGATTGAACACTGTGTTCTCTTTTTCTTTCTTGTTTCACAAACACGCGTATACCTTGTTCCATGTATGTTCACTATATAGAGGTTATCTGTGCTGAAAGGACCAAAAAATCGTGTTCATGTTCAGAGTTGGGAAGTGTTCATTATGTAGAGACCTCTTTACAGCAAAAATCGACCAGGGGGACCGAGATATGTGTTCAAATAGGAGGTTTTCATTATGTAGAGGTGTTCACTAATAGAGATTTTACTGTAGTTCATCGAGATAGAAAATTGAACTGTTTTGCCTGCATGGAATTCTAATTCTATTGAAGGAAGAGCTACCAGTACACTCAAGTATCTGTCAGTAGGTTTATGAACTAGAGCTGCCCAATAATTACAAAAGAACAAAGTTGGAGCACGGTACATGTAGCAATGAGTTTAGTTAATTTTAATTGAATGCTGAAAAGACTTGAATCTAGAAAAAATCCCGAAAATCAGAAAATCGGAAAGATATCGGAAAAATGTTGAAAAATCGGAAAAAATCGGAACGTCGGAAAGTCATCAGAAAAAAGTTCAAAAATCGGAACTTTTCCTGCCAAATCGGAAGATCTGGCCACTCTGGAGAAACCCCATGGATTAGGCCATTCGTAAAAACATATCAAAGATGAAGAGATCCAAATAGTACTATATAGGAACTCAGCTGCTTCTTTATGATATGCTTATATTGCTAGTACACTATCTTCATTTTCGACAAATACATCGAAAAATGATACAATTGAACCACTTTGTCGCACTAATGTAATACTTGGGTGAAAATTACTAGCTTTATCTAACATGTGATTGATACATTTAAATAATTTATTTGAAGTAAAGAAGATATCACCAATATATCTATCAATAATATAAATGATAGTATCCGATAACAGGAATATTTTTTGGAGAAAAGACAAAACACACTGGCCATAGATTTTATTTGATGCCACTTGTTGAGGAACGAGTTCTTTCCTTCTATTTCTACGTGAAAATGTGAGTCAGAGTTAAGCTAAATGCTGGTCCCATTGTGCCACCAATTGTTTGTTGGCAGACTTTGTTTTCATAAATGAAAACTTTTTGTGAGATCACAATACAAACTGATTTTCGAAGGTATTAACATGAACGTTTTTCACCTTATGATAACCATGCTAAAGCAGAAATTTTATAAGAATATCAAGTGATTCTTCTTGTGATAACATTGTATATAAATCTGTGATATGAAATGTACATAGATATAGTTGTTGCTTCATAATGATCATTGGCTGAATATGTTTCTAAACGACGACATAAATCAACGCCATCAGTATTTATTGTTAAGCGAACATGTCTATCGAATAATGCTCGAATTAATTTATCTAAAAGCTTTGAAGGGCGTGGGTGTTGGTACTTGTGAATATGAATGAGGGTGTGGATATGGATATATGTGTGGGTGAGATTTGAATGGTGTGAGTGTGGGTCTGTTATGTACAGAGTGTTCCCCTCCGCACATAAGACGAAGATGAGATGTCTCTTCTAGTCTAACTGGCTTACGACATCTGTCCGGATAGCAGAAGATACGTGGTTCGAGTCCCGTGAAGAGTCATCTTTTTCTTCGTTTTGTGGTCGTTCCAACTCGCTGCATTGTCTTGTATGATTCATAAGAGCAACGAATCACAACAGGGTAGAATACTGTCTGTACTCGCACGCACACTCATGTCTACATCCATACCCACACACCATTTTTTCGCCTTGCTGCTCGACTTCAGAAAACTGTCTCTTTCCATTTGATGAGTAATTTCACCAAATAACCCATCTGAGAAACTGACTCATTACAACTATTTTTGTCATTTCTTCTCATTTTTTTTGGCCACTGCCTTACAACTAGTGCACCACCAATAATGATACTTTTCTCCGCTGTGTGCAATCATCCATATCTTTTCTCCTTCTTCTCCAGCAGAGAACGCATAAGAAAAAAGAAAAAAAAATCGGTGTCCATACTCTCACGAGCAATCACTACTGTCATTTTCTTCTTTCTACATCGTCATATCTAGTGAATAATAGTAATTCTTATTTTGTGCGTAGAAAATAAACTGTCTATCTTACTACACACAATTCTTTCTTGCAATGACGGAAGAAGCTGAACGATTTGATGAAACAGGGGGATATGGCTATTCTTTACTTGATAATAATCAAGTATTCGAAAAACCGATGGAAACCTATGGCGGTAATTATGCCCGAGGTCAACGGGAATATTCAGCCGGTATACATCGCATTCGTTTCCAACTTGAACCAGTCTCTTCTGGTCTGCAAGCCAATAGAATTCTGATTGGCATCATTTCATCGAGTATAACTGCCAAGGATCAATATTTTGATCACACACCTTCAACATATGCATGGGGAACTTCATCATATGAATGGGAAAGCGAGAGTACCATTGTACAGAATGGGAATCATCACCGTGTTTCAAGGAAAAAATGGCCAGGTGCAAAGACTGGAGATATACTTGAGTTAACCATCGATTGTGATCAACGAACGATCAGTATAGAAAATCAAACAGGACAGGGAAAAGATTCAATGAACATTGACTTAGAAAACAGTCCCTTGCCATGGAAGTTTATTATCATTTTTTTTACGCGTCCTGATCGTGTTCGCCTCTTGTGATTCATTTTTAAGAATTTTTCTTACTTGTATGTAATAAACAGAACTGCAATGTCGGAAGGAAATACCAATTGTCTAAGCTACTTCATTTACAATACTGATATCAACTCTTGAACAAACTAATCTTTGCTTCATTTTAAGTGCAACATTCGTTCGTTTGAGATTTCTTCAAATCTTAATACAAGACTGTTCCATGACGCTCCTGGAAATTTTAGTCCTTTTAGCCAATCTTTCCAATAGTTAAACAACTATCTTTCTGCGTATACACGATCTCAGTTTTCCTGAAAGCCACATTTTACGTTTCAGTATAATTAAAATAACTCTATAAAAAATATGCTTCTCAGAGCTTGTTGATACAATTATGATATTAGGTTGTCTGAAAGTTCGTCCAACTCATATTCCATGAAAATGTACGATAACAAGTGCTGCATTCATGTAATGTTTCTCGTGGCACAAATAGTT